CGCACAGACACCAGTACTGGCAAGACTGGGCTGCAGAGTCCACATTCAAATTTCAGTCTTTGTTTCAGACATATAAGCAGAAGTCCCACTAAAAAAAATACAACATGGAAAATATTATAAATAGAAAACAGAATGGAGTTAGGTGGCTCAAAACCCAGAGCGAAGGCAGTGTTCTCTCAAGACACAAAAAACACAGAGCTTGAGAGACGCTGAGGAAGCTGGCCCTGCCAAAATATTTCAGCCTTGACAGGGAGAACAGTTTCTGGAAGAAGATTCTGTTGCTATAATTGTCTGGTCCTTTGCCTCACTCAGACCACCAGTTTATTGCACTGGGCCAATAAAGACTTCCCAGGTGCCAGGAACATCCAAGAGTTTCCAGCCTAGCCCAGCGCTCAGGTGGCAGAGAACTCAACCTATTCCCAAAATTCCTAAGCTTTCCAAGTGCTCTGCAAGGCAGGGCTGCACCAGCGTGAGCGAGGGCTGGAAACGGTTCCAGCTATATTATTCAGCTTGAAACCCCTGCTCGAGTGTGCAGAGAGTTTATTTGACCCAACGGGCCAGATTGAGCTGTGATTGCCTTACCTCCGCGCCAACTGCAACAGAATTGCACAAGCATGAGCAGAGTCTGGTCCAACAACAAGTAATTTGCCATATGGAAGCTACTGAGCAGACATCTGCAGGACACTGAAAGTGCTTTTCTATATGCAGCGCTGAGTGCTACAGTTGCGCATTCCACAGAGACTCCGTTTGCAAAGGGAGAGAGATGAAACATTATTTAGAGGTTTGGTTTCTTGGCCTTGAAAAGCGAAATCTGAAAACAATTAAAGCCCAGTGCCATACCAAATCAGTTATGCAGTCATTCCTGGATTTTCCCATGGAATTTTTACATAAGAATTAGGCTGTATTTGATGCAAACTAACACTCGCACAGAGAATTGTGCTGGTCAGAGGCAGGCCAGCTTAGAGATGAGTTTCAGGAGGTTTTGTAAATGCACGCAAAACTCAGTCAGAGGCATACTGAAACACACTGCTAAAGTTTACTAGAAACGTGATGACAGCTCACCCATTAAAAGCTCTATCACGCCTTACATCTTGTCCCTGAGAGACCGCTTTCTGCACCCTCCCATTCAGGCATTTCTTATCTTCTCTGTCAATGCAGATTTCCCTCTCCAGCCCGTCCTGTACAGCCTGTCCCACAAACAGGGCCACAGGAAATACCCTTCCCATCTCGCTTTGGACACCTTTCAGCTGTGGCATTGCTGGGGGATGGAGCGGGCCCTGTGCTTTTCCAAGGAGTGAGCAACCTTTGATGGCAGGTTGGCCGCTGTCCAGGAACACACAAGGAAGAGGCTTCCTGCAGCTTTCTCAGCTCTTTGTGTACCCATGTAGCAGCTGGGCAAAATCTGGCCTCACAATGGTGTGTCTGTAACGACACAACCAAATCCAGTCCTAGCACGGAAGGGAAACACCATCCAACTGGAGGCCAAGCTTTGAATTATAATGGTGCCCCTCCAGACTCCAGATATCTGCATCAGCTGCTTCCCCCTTCACTCAGAGCCCTGTAGCTAATGTTCCTTTATCCCATTAAAAGGCCAACTGCTCTGAGAGGAGGGGATTTCTCCGATTCTTTCGGAAAAGCGAAACTTTTGCTCAAGCAAAACAATAAAAAAAGACAGCCCATTCACCGGGCGGGAGAGCCAGGCAGTGAAGTCTCTCGTTTGCCTTCATTGCAAGAGACCTGGGGCAAACTTCCAGAGAACGCGGCTGTGCAAGAGTAGGTCTCCGATTATCGCCTACAGCCCTGTTAGTGCGTTTGATTCTCCTCTCTTGTCCATTCATGAGTACCAAGCCCACTGTATAAAACTCACTAGATTTAGTTCAGGCGTTAGGACTGACCTGTAGAAGAGTCCTGGAGGCAGGTCTGAGACGGGGACACAGAGGTGTGGGGCACAAAGTGCCGACCATGGCGGTCTGGACAAAGGAAGACAAGAGGGTGTTCTATTTTGAGCCTTTTATGGTTAACTCAAAGCTTCTCTTTCACTGAGCCAAATGTTGTCATAATTTTCACTGCATTAATCTCTAGAGTCCAAATCCCTTTTTTAACATGACACTTTGGATGTGAGATGACAAGTGTTAATATTCATTATTCTACAAAGCTATAAATATCCTGAGGTAAGGCAACTCACTGGAAAGGACACGACCAAAATGATTTCCTCAGCCCTGTGCTTACAGCGAGATCTTCATCACAGATACCGTTTTTCCCATACTGAAATGCTTTTGCTGCACTTCTTTTGGCACTAAAGTTCACTCGTGTACTTTTATTTTAATAGAATCTATAAAGTTATATTTAAATCTTCAGTCAGACTTTCCAGTTCAGGGTAGGCAACTCGCACACACACGTGTACAGATATTCAGCCTATACACCACTATCCTGCTGCAGTGCGTGAAGAAAAGCAGTCGTTTCAGAAGCTATTGGAGTTTCCCTACTGAATTTCTCCTGCAGATGCTTTTTCTAGCAAGATCCTACTTGCAGAGTGTTTTCCCATCAGAGCCTTGCCAGACTTTTGGGGCAACGCTGAACAAAGGTCTTACCACCTTTGTAACACTAAACGGCATTTAGTCTTTCATAAACTTGATAGCCTGTAAATCCCAGCTGGTCCACACCCTCTGCATTCCTATGTCGCATACTAACAGCCTCTTCTTTAATTACAAGGTGTGGCATTTCTGGACAAGAGACAGCTAATCCTCCAGACGTGTGTGTTATTTACATTTACCCTAGAATTTCTCCTTCACGCAAAGCTTTGGCTCTGAATCTGCAAAGGTCAAACCTCACCGCCAAAATCTCTAGCTCATGGCCACGCTTTGATGCCATTTAATATTCTGGGTTACTAATGAATAAGTAGAAGTGTTCTGACCACACGGGATTCAGATCTAAAAAGCTGCAAGGTATTTGGATCTAGGAGCTCGGTTCATGCCGGTTGCTGTTGCAAAACACAACCATCTGCAAAGCTAAAGCTTCAACAGGAGCCCGTATTAGCATGTTGCTTTAAACCACCCTCAGCCGCAGTTGTCCTCACGGATACTTCATTAGAAAGAAGACGAGCTCAAGCTCTGCGTTTCTTAAACACCGTCAGAAGACACGCGGACAAACGGCGATTGCGGCTTCTGCAGCTGGGAAGGGAGCAGCCCCCCGGGCCACGCTGGGCTGCAGACACCACCAGGAGACTGTCCCGCAGGAGGGCGGCCAGTGCTCCTGGGCCCGTGTCCACCACGCGCCGTTTCCTCCCCTCCATCCAAGCCCGACGCCCACAGTGCTTCCCACATCCCACAGCTTCAGGAAATCCAACCAGCCTCAGCCCAGCCTTCCTCGCCACCCTGCCCTGCTTCTGTGTTCCAGAGCCTCTCTCTTGCTGACATCTTTTCAATCCAGAGGAAAAAGCCACCCTCACGTCCTTCCTCTTGGCACCGAGAGCTCCCAGCCAAGCGGCACCCAAGGCTGCAGCAGCACGGGCAACACTTGACGGACAGCAAGTGCCAGAGAAGGACTTACTTGGTGGCAAGATGCGACTTCAAAAGGAAGAAGTCTTCTGGCCCTGGCCATGCCCACAAGTGACAAACATCCCCAGTCTGTAATGCAAAAAGGGGACTTGGGGCTGAAGCGCTCTGAGGCCAAGGTGATGATCTTGCCATGGCACAGCACACGCTGCGCGCCCACACGACCGCATCCAGTGCAGCAGCGCAGTGCCTGCACCACCAGCGAGCTGCAGCCCAGGGTTTGCATTGCCCACAGCCACTGCCACCCCTCCAAGCATCCGTCCCCCTCCTCCAGGGGGACCCCATTACCGCACCTCTGCGCCAAGGCAGGGTCTGCCCTGCTGCATGCCCGCACGCCACGTTCGGTGTCCCCAGCCACAGCACCTGCAGCAGCACCTGCTCGAGGCAGCGGCAGACACCCACAGCACGTCACTGCTGCGTTACAGAGAGCAACAGCACGACTTCTGCCCCTCAGAAAGGGTTTCCCGAGTGAAAGTCATTGCGCAGCCTCTGTGAGGAGAGAGCGGCATGCACCATGCTGGCTCCAGCACACCCATGGCAGGGCACGGCCGAGCCCCGCAGCCAAGATGGTAGCACCAATGTGATGAAGAACATGAGACGGAGCCCTGAGGACACAGAGGTCAGAGGAGGAGGTGCTGCGGGCGCTGAAGCAGGTTCCTCTGGGAGGACCATGGCAGAGCAGGGTGCACCCCTGCAGCCTGTGGGGAGAGCATGGCGGAGAAGTCCCTGAAGGACTGCAGCTCCCAAAGAGGACCCCATGCTGGAGCAGGGAACAGCGTGAGGAGAAAGGAGCACCAAACAGGAACCGTCATGGACTGACCGCAACCCCCATTCCCCAGCCCCTGCTCTGCTTGGGAGGGGAAGAGGTAAAGGGGTTGGGAGGGAAGCTGTGCCTGAAAAGGAGGAGGGAAGGAAGGTGCTGTTTTCTCACTAGCCAATCTATTTTAATTGGTTATAGGTTAGTTTTCCCCAAGCTGAGCTCGCTTTGCCTGTAAGAGTCACTAGTAAGTGATGTCCTGTCTTTATCCTGACCCATGAGGTTATTTTTCTTCACCCCATTTTCTCCCCCAGACCTGTTGAGGAGCTGAACTAAGATCACTCCTGGGTACCCACTGCAATCCCAGCAAAGAAAGAAGAGAGAGAAGGATAAGAAGAGAGCAGATTTTCCCTGACGCCAGGTACTCATGATGCCTCCTGATGAATCGGGCCGTTACCTGAGCGCTGCCGTGGACACAGAGCCCTGCTTCAAAGCGTGCTCTTCAGGAGGTTGAATCTGTGGGTTTGGACGCTGGTTATGTGCGAGGGAAAGGCAATCCCTGCCTCCTAACCAGGAACGGTTCTTAACCAGGACTGTGTCTTTATTGAAGCAGTCCAGGAAAAGTCCACTGAAGGGAAGGATCATGAAAGCAATGAGAAAAGGCACAGATCATAGGATTATGGGATCGTTAGGGCTGGAAAGGACCTTAAGATCACCCAGTTCCAACCCCCTGCCAGGGGCAGGGACACCTCACACTAGACCAGGTCCAACCTGGCCTTGAACACTGCCAGGGATGGAGCGTTCACCACTTCTCTGGGCACCGTGCGCCAGCGCCTCAGCACCCTCACCCATCAGCAATCCTCAGCGTAACAGGAAAGATGGTGAAAAGACATCCCCTTCTGGGGCCACTGAGAAAGCTCAGATAAAGTACCGGGGTGGGGTTCAGCTCATAACTTTTGCTAACCAGTGAATCTGTTGGCAGACGCAGCACTACTACCCTAACACACTCCTCTGCTCTTCCTCCTTAGGACTCCTTTAGCCTGACTTCCAACTCCACTGCTTAGGAATGCCAGGCAAGCACAGAAACCGCCTCTGCCCCATGGCTGCATGCAGCAGACAAATTATTAATGGCAAAAGAAGAAGTGCAAAAGGAAGATCACCTCCGGACATAGCCCATGCAAAACGTAACTTGCCATAACACAGCCCTGAAAGGCACTACTACCAAAATACCCTGGCATGTTACAGCATCCTCCCAACTTGCATAAAAGCTGCTTTATTGCTGATCTCAGTTTACTTTATTCGGAGGCATAACTGAGCTGTGGGTTTTTTTATGGGTTGTCTGACCTCCCCTGTAAGTGTTCTGGGCTATCATTAAGGCTGCGTAAGGCAAAGCTCTTTTCTTCTTCTCTTTTTGCAGGGCTTCTGTCTAGTCTTTTATCAGCTGATCTGCAGAATGATATGCGGTCCCACTCCTAAAGCAAGCCATGGATAAGCAAATGCTGCTTCTTCCCCTGGAGCCACCAGCAATGAGCCAGGGGCTGGGGAGGGTGGACAGTATTACCATCATTGCGCTGTCTCCCAAGACCCAACTGCCTTAGCTCCTCCAAACCTCCCCCTCTGCACCCCAAAAGCAACGCTGGGAAGAAAAGGAGCACGCATACAGAATCCACACGCAAACTTCAGAGCATGAAGAAGGCTCTGGGTAAGACCAAAAACCAAACAGCCAAACTCGGAATGACAGTCTTTGTAAGCAAAACTGCTTCCTTCCTGTTCCTCCAGCTCCGCCTGCTTCCCATGCTTGACACAGCAAAAAATCCCACGAGAAGCCCATCTATTCATACCCAGGAATTGCTCAAGTTCCTAATGTGTACTAATCCGCATCCAAAATATCACAGAGACATTAGTGCATTTTTGAACCATATCCTGCCGTCTTCACCGCAGAAAGCTCAGAAAAAGAAGTAGGAGCATTAACTGGTGCAAAAACCTGACTTCTGTTAGCTGAGCTGCAGGTAGTGAACACGGAATACTGAGTTCACAAGGCGAGTCAGAGTTACCTTGTTTGTCTGTCAGGTCCCTCTGGTAATCTGGCAAGGAAAAGCGAATACCTAATAAAAATCTTCAGGAAGTTGTGGTTAAGGTAGGAACAGGGCAGGCCTCTCTGCCCCTGTGGCTGCACAAGGACTGTCCCATAGGTATGGAAAAGCACTGCCAGGGAGAAGACCAGCTTAAAGAAAAGCAAAGGAGGAGTGATGTGATACTGGTGGTGAAATGAAGGAGGGAAGCGGGAAGGGTGATGAGAAGCTGCTTGTCCATGACTATATTCAGAGGAGGGAGGCAGCAGATTTCAGAGAAATAAGAGTTTCGGCCCATGACCCAGTTACAGCACATTTCTCTCCCACATCTGTGTCCTTCCAGGCCATTGTCGGTGGCCCTTTTGCCATCACCCCATTCTCCAATTTACAGACACCATCCAGCAACGAGCCTTTGATCGGGGGGAGGACACCCGAGCTATTTGCTTTCCTTTGCACATGCTCCACACCTGAGGAAGAGCAACACAGCACAGCCCAAAATTCACTGTTATTTCTGGAATACTCTTAAGTTTACAGCTAGCAGGGTGATGTAGAAGTCATTGCTGTGCTGTGCAAGCCTACATAGTGCCAGGGGGTTGCTAACAGATCTACGATCATCTTCCAGAGTGACAACAACAAATGTCTGGACTGCAGCTGCCCCATGCACCTCAATGCTTTGCAGCTCACAAACCAGAGGAAGTGCTTCCTGTAGCTCCAGGAAGACGGCTTTATCATGCAAACCGCCTGGATTCTCTTTTGGCCACCTCTGTCTTCATAGCATCCAAGTTCCAACCTCTGTAATTGTGAAGAAATGGTAGGGGAGGCTGCGCGGCAAAATAGTGCAAGGAAAACCCAGGCCCCATTCACACCCTTGCATTCAAGAGGTCCAAAGCTATTTGCAATTGCTAGTCACTGTCACTGCTCTGGAAAAGGACCCGTCACTGATTCACTATCTCTGTCTCTTGGCAGCAGTTCCCTACAGCAGCACAAGGCAGAAACAAAGAAGAGCTGCGTTTCAGGTCTGCCCCTTTCAGAGATACAAAGTTCGGTCCCAGATCCAAACTTCTGCCTGTAAAATCATGGCTCCAAGCCCACTGGCGGCATAATTTTGGATTAAACCCCCTAGGTTTATCCTCCTCTAGAGAATATAAAGTTTCACTAGTTACATAGAGGCTTAACAAATGGTCTGAGCAGAGATTTCACAATGAACATGTGATGATTAACTGCGGGATCACAGAGATTAAAGGTGGGAAAGAGCTATTAGATCATTGCAGCCCTATGGCAGTTGCAGAGCTGCTCTCTGCAGCATATCCATCCCAGCACCTTGTTCAGGCTAGTTTTGAGTGGCTTAAGCAAAGGCTCTCCCAGTTTCTTTCTGGAGGCTGTTCCACACTCCAGCAGATCTTGCTGATATTCACTTGGTATTTAATTTCACCTTGCACCGTTCTATGCCTAAGAGCCATCTTAAATGATCCTTTTCCCCCACTGGTGCCCTCAAGTTTTCCGCCCTTATGTCACTTGGTAAATCCACATCTATTTCTCTGTTTGCCATCATCTCCCATGATCAAGATCAGCAGGGAGCAAACAGCATACTTCCATGTACGCTAAGCCCTTTCCAACCTCCACTAAAGCGATCCAGTCTTTCTTTGGACAGATGACATTGAATTTCTGTGGTTTGACTCATCATATCATCTCCTGCTCCTGCTTTTGACTCTTCATGAGGTGCCAGCACGACAGAGAGCAGGACCCACCAATTAATAAGATGTAAAGATAGAAGAAAGGGTTTCTGGAGAGAATTGTTTTTGGCAGCTAAGTACGACAGGAGACAGATGTGGGCTCGACCTGAGACCACATGGATGGCCCCAAGTCAGTTCCTATAACCTAGGTCCTGGGTGTAGGAGTAAAGTGCCACAAGCTGGTGCTGATGAAAGGAAGTTTGATTCAGTCTTAGCATAGAGGAGCAGCACACTGCAACTAACTCCACAGGCTGAGGCTGGGAAAAATATATCCCTCTCTTCAAGTCACGTTAATGGAATATTTTCTGCTGGATCAGGATCAAACATTATAAGGTAGACATTGTCTAATACAGAGAAGGATGTGGGATGAACAAATGCCAGCGCGAACAGTCCTAATGACCCTTGCTTTAAAGAGCCCCAGAGACAAGACAGAACAAGACCAGAGCTCCAGGAAACAGCCCAGTGAATGCGTGCACACACGTGTGTCCTCCAACAAGCTACACCCAGCCTCCCTCCGGCACACCAAACAGAGCCTACCGCTGCCTGCAGGCGCCCTGCTTCAGAGAGGTTTCACGTTCCCCCAAACGACAGCGTACACACGGAGCTTTAGCTCCAAGAGCTATCACACGTGGGAGCGGCTGGTGGTGATCCCAGCACTTCTGAATTCCCTGCTCACTGAAGGGTGAAATTAGACTCACCGCTCACAACTTCCAGCTCGCGGGAAAGCGGCTCAGAGCAGGTAGCGGAGGGTATGGAGCACAGAGGTGGCCTCAAAAGAAAAGAAATATATCCCAGCCACACAGACTTTGCTGTAGCAAAGTTCAGACTGGGAATTTGCATATGTAAATTCTTTAGGAAGGTACTCCTATTAACAACTTGAATTGCACTCTGAAGAGATTACAGCAGTTGGGGAGAGGTAAATGAGCTCTGTCAAAACAGGAACAGCTCTAAGTGATTCCCCAAAGCAGGATCGGGGCACGCACCGTAGCATACTCTGGCACTGGCTAGGGAAATGATGGAGGTGTTTCTCCTGTGCTTCAAAGCAGAGGATCTGGCAGCGTTTCTTGTCCAACGATGCAGGGTTTGAAAGAGCTGGAGACAAAGCAGCGTTGATGCAAAGAAACAAAAACCTAAGAAAAAGAGTTGAGGCTCTAGGGCAGACACCACCAAATCACCTCCAGTTCCCCAGGTACAAAGGCACAGGAGCAGAGGGCTGACCCATGGGGTCACCTGCAGCAGAGGGCTGCACCCAAGATGCATCTTCCTGCAGGAGCAGCTACTTTGGGTGCTGTGCTTCTGGGAGCCTCAGCATGACTGCGGCTCTTCTTGTACCATATGAGAGCCATAAGGCAGCTGTTTCTTCCCCAGTTAAGGCCCACTCCAACAGGAGCACAGCTCTCGAGCAGAATCTGCATGTCCCAGGTAAGTCGGGTCGCAGGACAAACGCAAGGACAGCCAGATGCATGGAGGTCCTTCACACTGCAGATCCGGCTGTCACCAAACAGCTCCGCACATCTGCCACCCCCCATAGGTGTCAGAAGCTGCACACAGACACACCTTCACAAAGCCCACACAGAGAACTCTCCCATCTCCCTAATCTTCACCCAGTTCTCAGGTTATGTCTTACAGACCTCTGTAATACCGGCCTGAAGGAAGCACAGTGGGTCTGGCAAGCATCAAGGGTTTAAAAGCCCTGCAGCCAGCTGCTCTCGCTGACCCCCAGACCTTTCCAATCCTGCTCAATCCCTGTTTCTTCTGTTCATCTCTGGGAGGAGAAGGAAATAACAACTCCATGGGTGTCCTGGTATGGTACGTGGCCCAGCAGATCGCTGACCCACCCTTGCTCAGGGGGCTGCCCCCGTGCTGGGTTACTGATCTCCCTGGAGGTGCACCAGGGTGGATTATCTGCCTAGCCGGGCATGTTTTGCTTAAATTCATCACATTTTTGATCAAAGAGTGAAATGAGGACAAGAGAAGTTGTAGAGCCTGTTTCCCCATGGAAGTAGTGCAAGCTTTAGAACACGGACACTGGCAACAGAGTTGGTGAAGCCGTATGGTTATTATAGAAAGGAACAACCCATTTGCTGAAGTGACAGAAACAGGCTCAGAGGGAACAGCCCTGATGGTGCCTCTCCGAGCCCCAGGTAAGTGCCATTGGAGAGCCTAGGAAAGATTTCTCACAGGTGGGGCATACCACAGAATGCAGAATGGGGTGGAAAGGACCATAAGATCACCCAGTTCCAAGCCCTGCCACGGGCAGGGACCCCTTCCACTAGAGCAGCTTGCTCCAAGCCCCTGTGTCCAACCTGACCTTGAACACTGCCAGGGATGGGGCATTTACCACTTCCTTGGGCACCCTGTGCCAGCGCCTCAGCACCCTCACAGGGAAGAGCTTCTGCCTTAGATCTAACCTGAACTTGCCCTGTTTCAGTCTGAACCCATCACCCCTTGTCCTGTTGCTGCAGTCCCTGATGAAGAGTCCCTCGTCCCTCCCCAGCATCCTTGTAGCCCCCTTCAGACACTGGAAGCTGCTCTGAGGTCTCCACGCAGCTTCTCTCCTCCAGGCTGAACAGCCCCAATGTTCTCAGCCTGTCTCCATACGGGAGGTGCTGCAGCCCCTGAGCGTCCTCGTAGCCCTGATTCACCACACTTACAGGATCTCACCACCGTGTATTTACTATGGACAGAGGAGACTGCCTCAGGGTCTGCGCTGTGCCCTGGGAGGGCAGGACTGAAGCCCTGTGGGCTGGCACTGCCTCACGCTCCCAAACCTGCAGGGAGCTTACCCCAGATTCTCACTTGTTTGAACTTCATCTGTGCTCATGTGCTGGGCTGTGCTCTGAGGCAGCACATAAGCCTGCTCTGCTCTTAAAAGAAACAGCCTGTTTAAGCCTCTTTTTT